AGATACATTCAACTTTCTCTTTAGATGAGTTGTAAGGCTGCAGAAACTCTGTGAAAAGGGTTATTGAATAGTTAAGAATGATCAATGTAACCCCAACACTGCTCCAGTGCTGACCCTTTCGTGCAAATCGTTCCTAGTTGCATTCTTACACCTTTCTAGTCCTCTGTGAATGAGACTTTTTTAATGCTGTCTTGATAAAAATCATTTCTATACTATAGAAAAAATATATCAAACTAAAATCGTGGCTTGTATTATTTCATGGTGTTAAAAACCACTATACTTAATTTTAAAATGCAATGAGCTGGACTGATACATGTTTACTCTTGTGTGCCAAGTGCTCTCTAAGTTACAAAGGCAATTTTGCATTAGAATGTATTTTTAAATTAAACAGTAAATATTTATATTTAAATAAATATGCTGTTTACAGTGTTAACAAATATTTGATAAATAATTTAAGCATCATGAGATATTTGTTTACAAAAAGATAAATGTAAATGGCAGTATAGAATGTCACTCATCTACCACAGTTTATACAATAACTTCCAATATTATATCTAAATTACTGAAGTCTTGTTTCAGCCAAGTATCCACTGTAATCAAGGTTCTCATTTAGTTGAGACATTATGCCAAAATAATTGGCTAAGCTGGAATAGAAAACTTCAAAGTTTCTTTCTTACCTTGCACATCATTTCTCCCATGTAACCCCATGGTTCTCATTGCAGGCCACAAACTTTACTCTTCCCCAGTTTTTCTTTGATATATTTTTAATGGATTAATTTTTATTATAATTAACATATGTCCATGGCAGCCATCCTAAGAGATCATACAGCACCCAGTTTTTTACTGTGGCTGAAGCTATCTTTTGTTTTAAAACAAACTTGCTTTTGGCTGTCAGTGTGAATGATCCTGTAAAACAATTTTGTGATTGATTTCCTGACAGCCCCCCAAGTCTCTGCCTACTCTGATTACAGCACTATGCCAGAGCAGTCCAGGATTCTACAGAGTATTAGAATCTGTGATTCCTTGGGATGTCTCAGATATGGTCAACTCCTTGCTGAATGGTCCAGTGCTTGTTCTGTTGGACAGTGGTCTGTTTATACTGCCTTGCATTGGGAAGGCTTTCTTGGCAAGGGTGAAAAAGAAAGCTGAGATTGTTATTTGTTCTCATTTTTTATGGCCCTACTCTGTCTTCGTTTTGATACAATGTGGGATTTCAAAATGGTAGAACAAACCCGCAGAATGATGCAGATGCTGCTAAGGAATGTACAAGCAAAAACCCCCAGTGGGTTTACTTGAGCAAATTTAAATGCACAAAAGTAAAAAAAAAAGTATATATGAAGTATAAATGTTGATATTTAGATCTAAAGATTCAGATAACATGAATGACATTTCCTTGCTCACCTGCAGGTCTACATGTAAGGTTAATGCAAACTCACCTGTTGGACAAGTCACAGTAGAGCCTGTCTGTGCTCCCACCCTGGATAATTACCTTGTTATTTATTAGACTAATAACTTCTTGGCATGTTATATTCTGTGCACTCAGAACTCACCTAGTTAAGGTTACATCAAAGACTGACCTCCATTGACAAGATTAAATTGAAGTCATTTTCTCTAAGAGCTTAGGTGGAGTATTTGTGTTGTCAGCAAACAGGAGTTTATCCTCTTTCTCCTGGGCATTATCTCGGGTGCAGTGTCAGAATGCCAGATGGATTTGCTTTAATATTTTTTCTCCAGTTTTTAATATTCTTCTATCATCTTTCAGCTGTCACACTCAATAATTTCTTTGGAAAAGAAGTGCCCAAAAGAAGCCACTGTATAACAGCTCTGCTTTAAATGCTGATCTTTTTCAGTATTTTTTTCGAGCTGTATGTATTACCTGATGTTTAACCCTTAGAACTTGCAGGACTGCATTAAATATGGTTCTTTTTGTAGGCTTCTCACTCGCAAAAAAACCCTCAACGAACCAAAGCCAACCCCCACAGATGAAACAGACCCCCTTTCCCTCAGGAAAATAGTAATTATCCACAGTACCATAAGGACTATTTTTATGTTACAATTTGCTTTAAGCCCCTCCCCATAAATCATTTTATTTTGTATACGCTTGTAGAATTGAAAAGAGAAAATATAGACTCAGACCAGTAAATCAATGAATACTAAATAAACTGAAGAAACAATCAGTCCTAATTACTCTTAATTGTAAAATAGGTGGGGTTTTTTTTCTTTTTTTTTTTGAATATAAAGCAGATTTGAATACTTGGTTAACCTTGCTACTTACAAAATGTGATGGAGGAGGAAGTCTACTAAGTAACTTCTTTGGAAAAGGAAATAGCCCACTGAATGAAAGGAAAAATAATGCTCTTTTAGAGGTGATTTCATGTATATTCTGACATCCTTACTTGAAATTTGTTCATTTTCCCTTCAATTTGCAAGTTATTATAAAAACCATGTGCAAGTAAAGTTTACATCCTTAAAATCACTAATTCTGCATGTGAATTACTGTAAAAATTATTTCATGATATGTAACTTAAGTTCAGTTAAAGAACAGCAGTATATTGCTACACATTTCAGTACAGAATCTTATCAAGCTTAATCATCTTTCTCCTAAAGCATAATATTTGAATTGAACTTTTGTCTTAGAATTTGGTAGGTGTTGTGAATGCTTTCAATGGCTGTTTTAAATAAGAAAAAAAGAAGACAACCCTCCTTTCATTTCTCTGTAACAATCTTGATAACATTTATGAAGCCAAGAAGCATCATGAAAACAGCACAGTGGCTTATCTGTGGTTTCAGCAGTTGTGGAGGTGGAATGTCCATGTTCAACAGAGAAAAGGGGAAACAAACCCATGACCTCAAGGACAAGAAAAGAAGATGGAAGGAAGATGAAACAATCATCCTCACCCTGAGGGAACTCAGCTGTCCAGGGACTGTGAAGAGAGAGGTGGATGGCAAGAAAGAAGTGTTAAAGATATAATTTTATTTATCACTGGACATGGAATATGAGCCTTTCTTCCAGACTTAGATAGTATCTGATATATCATGGAAAGCTACTTCTTCCCTGCTTGGAATTGGAGTAGAACTGCATTTTACAACAGTCATTGGTGCATTGCTTAATGTTGGAAGGAATATTTTATTACTTACTAGGATGGGAAAGAAGTGGAATTTCCAGTCTTCTGCCATGTCTCTCTGGCTTTGCAGAAAAGATAAGTAAAAAGCTGTTGTCCCATGTGGGTGGCAGGGATGCAGTGTAGTTCATGATCCATGAAACTGGATAATATGCAGAGATAGAGAAAGTTTCTCCCAGATAGGATGAGAACTGGTGTTTCTTGGGAATGATCATGTATCTCCATCCTTTTGGTTCTGGTATGACAGGAATCAAATCTATAACAATGGCAATCCATCAAATGGGAGAGAGAAGGGTGTTGGATAATTCTAATAACTTTAGGAATTAATTAGTTAATGGCAGTACAACTGTGAGCTTAGGATTCATAAGCTGTATGTATTCCTGAGATGTATGCAGCAGACTATTTGGCTCATCTCAGTATAAACCAGTGGAATAACTTTAAAGTCAGATGTTTAATCATGTCAGATTAATTTCCGTTAAATTGACTTTCAAATACTGATGTGTCCCAGCCTTTGTTATATGTGATTAATGGTATGGGGAACGCTGAGTTTGTCTGAATATGTCTGTCATACACACAAGGTCCTCCAAACCTGACATGCAGTGAGCTCCTTTGTACTCTGCTTTCATTTAAAATTCAAGTGATGGGTTGGACATTTTGAAAAACCAAAAGCTAAAAGAGAGGGGTAAGGAAAGCTACTCTCCAAGTAATCTTCCGTTTAAGATACTGTTTAAATAATTAAACCTTTTAATGGAAGTGTATAGATTGTAAGATTTTAACTGGTTCTTGTTTAGTAGAATGAATTGTGTATCACACTAAGAAAGAATGCTGTGAAAAACCTTGCAAGATTTTGTACTTACTGGTCTGTTTTAGCTTTGCAAAGAGTGTATTTATCCTTGTACAGATCGTATCAATAAGTATCATCTATGAATGCATAGATTTATTTTTAAATATCATATGGATTTACTCTCAAATGGATAGTCAGGGCAGAAATTCATATTTAAATTAATGTGATTCTTCAAATATGCTAAACTTTAGTCTCTTCATGTTAAGAAACACATCACAAACTCTTGCCAAGGGTTAAGGTTATTTAGGAGGTTAAAAAGTAGTCTGCACTGTTTGTTGCCTTCAAAGCTTGATAGAATTTCTGGTTAAACTAGGTCATAAAGAAATCCATAATTTTATCTAAATTACTTTTGCTTATCTGGTTATAATTCTGTACAAAATAGGCGAAATACTCTTCAGGAATCTTTAACAGAGAGACAATAATTTCTTGTTCAAAATAAGTCACTATGAAGATATGTCCATATTAAAGTATGCATAATTTTACAAAACCAGCTATGATAAGCATTCATAAAATTCAGCATGAAGAAAATAATTTCAGGAAGTGTCAGTCAGTATACACTGGGTAAGCAACTACAGCTGTAGTTAATATTCCTGTGAAGTAAAAACACTTTTAGTTCATGAAGTCCTAAGTTCAGCAATGATAGTTCTTGAACTGGTGGAAATAAGCTCAACAGAGAGATCATCATTAACTAATCATCCAGGAAAATATTTAAATCTAGAAAGCTTTGTATTAAAAATAGTGTATATTATTATTTATGATCAGAGGTTTTGTTGGACTGCTCTTAATATTTTCAGGGCAGCCAGAACTGAGGTAATATGGGGTTTTCTTGAAATGTATTGACAAATCTGTTTTCAGAAAGGTACCTGTACTAGGACTATAGAAGGAATCTGAGGGATGGTAAAAGTTTCTTTTTCTGCTATTCTAGGTGGAGATATATGTCAGGGTTTAATCAATGGATTGATAGATATGTTAAACTATTCAGATTTTTAAGCTGAATGTGTGTTCTGAATACAGACTGTGGGTTTCTGTTGTAGTACGAATACTTCAATGCTGTGCTCATAAATGAACGAGATGAAGAAGGAAACTACCTGGAGCTGGGGAAGGAGTTCATTCTGGTGCCAAATGACCACTTCAATAACTTGCCTGTGAACATCAGTCTGAGTGATGTCCAAGTACCAACCAACATGTACAATAAGGGTAAGAAAAAAGCTGTTTTATTTAATCATTCCACTGGCTGAACTTAGGAACATCCTTGCTTTAAAAATGAAGCTGTTGATTAGCTGTGTATTATCTGTGTTTTCCAGTTGGCAATAAAAGTGAAATTTCAGTGGAAGAATGTTTAAAGTGTGACAGTTCTGTAATATATTTTGTCCTGTGGCAATTTAGCAATTTATTACGGTCAATGATTTGCATATTAGACTGTCATGAATTCTGCCATGGAGTATGACAGAATATGTTTATTCTTATGAATTATTTTCCAGAATCTTCAAATAATTTGATCAGAGCTTACATTGCCTCTTACCAGTTAGATTCTACCTGCGCTGAGATCTAGATGTGTCTGTGAAAGACATAGGGTAGATGGGAGGGGAATATTTTATTAGATTTCTGCTTTCAAGCTTCTGGGAATATTTGTAGCTGTGTGTATTCTATTATGGCTCTATACACAGCTGCTGTGAGTTTTCAGATAATATTTAGAAGGAATAAACTGCATTAAAATTTCTACTCCCTTGCCTCTTTGCCATAGGTGCTGGATAGCACATAGCACTAACCAACAGCTACATTAGATAGTAGAAGTGATGGACTTAGGTCTAAAAATTGGCAATGCAAACTGAACTCAGACACACTTAACTCATTTTCCATTTGCCACTCTCCTTTGATCAGACAGCACAAAATTGTATTTTTACAGTGCTTGTGCAGCGCCTATCTATTTATTTTTCTCAAGCCAGTAATAAAAGAAAAATTAAGAAGGAAAGCACCAAAGTTTCCCAACGATGTCTGCAGTATGTGTGTCATTGGTCTGTAGAAGGCTGCCTAATCTCATTATGTGGTTCCTCTTCCCTTTTTAACTATACTAAAAGACAGCTAAAAAGACTTTAGTTAAATGCTTTCCTCATAATACATTCCAGGCTAGCAATTGTGGTAATTCATGCAAGAATATTGGGTAATCACAAATGGAAGGAGAATTAGTTCAGATAGGTTGGGCTGGTAAGAGAAGCTGTTGACGTGACAGCTTCTCTTCAAAGTTAGGATTCTGACTTGAGAATCTTGAGAAGCCAAAAATCATACAGTGATGTTTTAAACTAGGGACTAAAAGATAACAGAGCTTCCTAGAGGTTATTTGAAAGGTTGTGAAATGATCAATGTGGGATATTTTCAAAAGATTTGGAAAGTGCTTAAAGCTTCTGAAGATACCAAACCACTTCTTTGTGCAGGTGCTAATGTTTATTTAATCAAGGTTGTCTATAAATAATTCATTCTAGAACTGCTAAGGAGGAAAAAAATGGTTGAAAAGGGATACAGAGGTCAGGCAACCACGTGTTTCTGGAGAAGCACACTAACCTGAGCAGTGAGAGCAGTAGAACTAAAGGATGTTCAGTTACATGACATGTCATACTGCTTTGTATAGAGTATGTTTTATATGCTGACTATTTATAGTTAAAGGCCAAAGTCAAAGGGCTTGTTGAATCTTGTTTTGGCCTCTAATACAGGGATTGCCTGTAGGAATGGGGAAGAGGGAGCTCTGTGATGATTCCTGTTTCCACACCATCTAATTCAAACCATCCAAAACCATTGCTTTATGCAGCTGCAGAAGGAAAGCATTTTTTTATTACTTAAATGTATTCCAACTGCAGAAATCTAGTTTGTTGCTGACATTTTCCTTGCACATGGACATGATAGTCTCGGTTTGGAGTCTGTCAATGTGTGGAAATGCTACTCTTGCCAAGAAGAGGACTGTATACTTAATTTTTTTTTTCTAAGTTCTGTAATGCAGAGGGGTGATAACAAGTTAATCAAATCCTAGCCTGAGGGTACAGGCAGTAGATATTGATAGGTTTACAACTGAGTGTCTGCACAACACCATTTTTCTAGAAAAGGCCTGTTGTTCATTTCCAGGTTATGTTTTGGTTTATTGAATTACTAGGCAGAACCACAGCTCAAACAGTTGAAAACAGATAAGTGTGATCATTGAATAGTTAAACACAGGACTCTAGAATCAGCATAGAAAAAAAAAAATCAGCTCTCTGTTCATAAGTTAATTCTCACCTTTTTCTTTAATTTTTGTTCACTTAGTTGTACAGACAGTGACAGGACACATCGAAGACATGAAAATGTGCCTTAGACTGAAAGGCTTCAGGAGCTCAGTTCATTTGGCTTATTCAAGAAATGACTAAAGGTTTAATTAGTTGATCTGGAGTTAATTACTAATACCAGACTCTATAATCTGGTTGACAAAGATTTTAGAAGATCCAGAGGCTGAAATGGGGTTCCATTATTTTGCAAATTGCGCAACTCAGTTAAGTTTTGGGAAAAACTTTGGCCTGGTCAGCTGCATGATCACAGTGATCCCTCCCAGCTGTAGAATCCCTAAAGTGGAGGGTCACAGTCCCTAACTAGGCTCTCAACGAGATAGGCTTAGCAATCATGGAACATCAATACATTTCTATTCTTATATATCTTCTGGCTCTTTCAGCCTCTTCATAAAAAAGCTTAAAAACATTGATGGTAACAACAGGACTACCTAATTCCCATTCTAAGGAAATCAAGTTTAGAATCTGAAAATAAAAAGCAAAAGCAGATTTCATTACATTTATGATGAAATCAAGAAAACTTAAGTACCACAAATATAAAACCTATGATACTGAAATTTAACATGGAACATTTTGAAAAATAAAATAAAAGCCACTAAAAATGTCTGCCAACCTAAAAGTAACTCTAGTGCCATCTTTGATTACAGACTGTATGCACCTACTGTAAATGTATATGGGAAGGTAAGCTAGTGAATTTAATAAAGAATCAGAGATTTGCATTTACAGTACTCTTGATCATCATTGTAAAATAGAAAGGTCTTGTCTGGTTATTGAAGTGCTTTTATACTTTTCCTTCCCCACTTCTGCTCACCCTCGTTCCTTGCTTTCTGCATATCTTACAGATCACATCAATAATGTCAAAAATAGAAACGTTACTGATCTTTGAAATATAAACCCTATGCAGCCCAGAAAACTGTCTTTTGACATTCCTGTGATGTTCATATACTGGAGGAATTCAGAGCAAAGAAAAGTGGGATGATGGTGCTCTACACTGGAGTGTATTTCCCTGTCTGTACAGACACACCTCGCTTTAGGCCACTTAGCAGCAAAGCTGTTGGTCCATTTAAACTGCACAACATTCTCATGGAATTAGCCTCCTTCATTTTTCCTGAAAGTGACTGCTTATTATAAAGTTTTGCTTTTGAAATGTTTAAGCATGCATGGGGAGTCTAAATCTGTCACTGCATTTTGTTTCTTCTCTTTAAACACAAAAGTGTGTTTGTTACCTACAGCCTCACTGCCTGTAGCCAAAGGATTTGCAAGGCATTATGTTTTTAAACAATGAATAAATAATTAAGATTAAGAAAGAAGTTCTGTGACAGCTGTCTTAGCAAGCAGTAGCTCTTCCATCCACGGCAATTACCAACTGTGTACAGATTTCTGACAGAAAATAGGGAAAAGGTTCTTAGTGAATTAATCATATTCATATATTCACAGATGAAAGAGGAGGGAAAGGAATAAGGCACTTTTTCATTAGAAGGAAAGTCCAATTTTTAAAAGTACAGAATCAGTGTGAACCCAGCTTGGACAATGCAGTACCAAGGCAAAAATCCAGGTGTGAGAGCAGGTGTATAAAAGGCACTGCCTCATTCAGCTGCTGGGGGTCTTTTTTTAATTGAGTTTATTTACATGGGTTATGTAGCAGCACAAAGTGCATTCTCATGGCTCTTATTTTTTATGTCTCCCCTATTATTTTAGAATGTAAGTGATTTGGTACATGCTGCTGTCTCAGACATATCTTTCATTTATACTTCCACAGGTATCCATTCCTGAGATACTCATGTGACTTTCTACATGTCAGTCAGTGTGTTTTGAACAGCTGTTGTGGAAGGGATTAGTAATAATGAAAAATGATTAATGATTTAAAATTTGCATGGTTGCAACATTTGATTTATTATTTCATGAGATGCCAGTAAGTATATTAAGAAGAACCTAGGAATGTGCCATATAATTAACAGTAGCAGTTGGAATGTGGGCTGGGCTTTCTGGCAACCATCCATGGGGAACATGGCAGTAGGATTGCCACTGGGAAGAGTAGGATTGTATAATGGATTTGTGTACATGAGGAGATGATAAAAGAAGACTCAAAACTGATCTTGCAGATGTTGACAGCGTATAAAAGAAAAATACAGCAGCATTTTACCTTTTGTTAGTATGAGAATATAGGTAGCCAAGACCCTACATTCTAAGTCCAAAGTATGTGCTGTATCTGAGATGAAGAACCTACTCCAGTCTTTTTTTTCCCCTAAGTCCATCTCACCTCATATTTACCCATAGTTGTGTAAATGACATATTTTCTGCTAATGAGTTTGCACTCAACAGTTTTTCAGGTTCATGGAAGAGGCTTATGGATACTTGGATAAATGTGGTTTTCAGTGGAATGTAGAAGAAAAGCAAAGCCAAGGTGGGGGTGAATGTGTCCTGGTGACATACTCTCAGACAATTCTAAGATTATGCCATCTGTGGAAAAGCAAAGTGACACACAGCAGGAGCTCATCTGCTTACGTCAGCATTGCGTGAAATGTAGGAAACACAAGAGGGAAATCTCAGTATCAACTGAAAACAACTCCTGTTTTTGAGCTTTTGCAGTTGGTCTTTGTTTATAGGATAAGGTAAACTTTACGTTCACTGTTTGCAGAAAGGGGAAAAGCCCAGGTTCCCTTCTTTTCAGTGCTTCAAACATTTCTGGACAAAAGCACTTCTCCTTGCCCTTTAAACTGTCTTTCTGTTGTTTCCCTCAGGTCCTCAGATTTGTATTTAGCAAAGTTTACTCTCTCATTCTGCTAGTGTTCCTAGTCATTAAAAATAGTTAGCTTAATTCACTAACTAACAATATTGACTAATTAATTTAACTGGCACTAAATTCTCCTTTATCAAGTAATTGTGCAA